GAAGCAGAGGGACTCGGCAGTTCTTCACTTTTGCCAACACCCTTGAATACAGAAACATCATTTGAAGATTAATTTGCCTTTGTCTTCATTTAAGTAGAATCACATCATAAGACAGACAGGATAGCCAAAAGTCAGGCTTTTAATTTTAAAAAATCTACACACACACACATATATATATGCATACACACAAGGACCCTCAGATTTGCTTTTTGTACCAGGTCCAATTCACAACACTTCAATTTGTTCTGACCTAAGAGAGAATTCCAGCTGTGATGGACGAGGCAATAAGGGAAATCTTAGCAGTCTTTATGTTTCAAGTACAGATGATTGAAGAGCTACATGCTGTACCACTAGGGCTTGAATTAAAGCTTGGATAAATACAATTAATGTGAGGCATCTTCTTCAAAAAGATAGCTCTGGTTGACAAAGAAATTAACTCAAAGTAGTCATATGGATGAAAAATCCATATGTGACTAAACAACCACAAGTGCTTCTTCCAACTTCATAGTATGAAACCTTTGTTTAGTAATAATTAACCTCTTATTTCAGCTTTAAAAGAAAGTAGTTTTCAGTTGTTTGTTCAGTGATGATACTTTTTGAAAAATTGATTCCTTCAGAAAATGGGAGAAAGAAACAACAGAGAAGATCCACACAATGCAACATTGAGAGAAATAACTTTGATGTGTAAACTTTGCTTCAGGCTGAGTTAGAGAGCATGATCTTCCCCATCAATTTAGTTTTGTCTGTGCCTTGAAGTTCTTCATGGTATTTTTGAGTCATGAAAGGTTAAATCATCACTAATTCATTAGAAAGTCCTTCACAACAACTTTACCTGAGTAATTAATGACTTATTGAGATTTCTTTGAAAATTTCTTATATCTTCAGACAATTTCAGTTTACTTATACACTAAAATAAATTGTGGTATTTCTAATTACATTTGATGTATCTACATTTACAAAATAAACCTTTTAAATGGTTACAACTAAACTTTTAGTTGCTAGGAATTTAGTCACAGCCCATGAAAATATCCATTAGCTATGCAAAGGGGAAATTTTAGTCTCACCTGATGTATTTAAAATACACAATATTTACAATGTGCCCAAAATATATTTATATTGTAAGGCTCAACAGATTTTCAAAAGAGAAGGTATTAAAATCATTGTCAAACATTAAAAAAAAATCTCCTAAGTCTCTAAAATAATCTTGTAGAATGTAAATTGCTGGCCAGAATTATTAGCAGAATTTTACAAGATCACCTAGATACGTTGACGAGTTTCTGTCAAGAATGATTTACATGTAGTTGACCCTGCCTTTGAATCACATAGGATCAGAGACTGATGGATTAAATACTGCCACGATGATAATGTAACTATTTGAAATTTAAGTAATACTAAATCATATCAATATTATTGTGAACTTATACTGCTACATTATCCACACTAACATTCCTGTGTCTTCAGTGCCATCCTGCATGGTCCTGTGTGGTGGGAAACAGCTGAAAGCAGACTGTGGTGAGGTAAGAGAGCAAAGAAGAAAGTCTTACAACCTTCTCTGGGTTGAAAGTTCCATCGTGCAGTTACATTCTGCAAGGACAGGTCTCAAGCCCACAGGCAAGAACCCATGAAGTGCAGAGCTTGACGTTAGTAGAGACAGGGGCACACACCCAGGGGTGTATTTCACACCTTTACTGACAATGCTACAAAGCCAGAGGGAACCCATCTCAAGGTCTGATAGTACCATGGTATTCACTGACATCACTTCCACTGATTTTATCCTAGCATTGTCAGTTAAAGTCTGAAGTAAGAGAGATTATTTCAACCCTTGGAGGAAAGCTACCAATTCAGTAAAGAGAGCAAATGCCTGATAGTACTATGGTATTCACTGACATCACTTCCACTGTTTTTTTTATCCCTGCATTGTCAGTTAAAGTCTGAAGTAAGAGAGATTATTTCAACCCATGGAGGAAAGCTACCAATTCAGTAAAGAGAGCAAATGCTAAGCTACTAAAAGTCTTACCACTTTTTTCCTACAGTAAAATTGATACAAACTTCAATATATCAGACAAATAGACTGTGAAAGAATGTTTTGTATCTCAGTAAACTGCCACAAGCATTGCAAGTCACAATAATGGAAAAGTCCTCTTGTAATTTACTGGGTTAAGCAGCAAATTGAGATTTTTCTGTTACATATTCAAAGACTTAGAAGCACAATACAACACAAAAGCATTTACAGAAGTGAGGCAAAGACCTTGATGTTTGTCAAAACTCAAACAAGATAAGCAAATAACTGAGCTTTCAAAATTTGTAAGAGAAATGAAAAAAGTCCATTTCAAATTTTCAACTTATCTAACTTGTGTCCAAAATGGTTATTTTTATCATATTCTGGAAATTTGTAGATACTTTTTTAAACACTGTCAGACATCAAGTATGTTGCTATAATTTTAAGGTTATCTGCTTTATATTTTAACATTTTCTAATATCTAGCTTTACAATCTCCTCCAGCTCAGCAAAGGGTCCAAAATGGCTGAAATCTAACACAACACTCAAATGCCAAAACCTTGCTGTAAATGAGTGACACTAGTCTCAAAAGATTTTCTTTACTTTTGGATACCAGTTAGTTCATGTCCAACACTTTTATTCAGCACAACATTTCACTTTAAATGAAGTTCCTTTTAAAGAAATGTCTTTCCTTCAAATTAGCCCTTTTCTAAAGTACTTCAAATGCTACCAATTCATAAACAACAATTCTGTATGTCACCAGCAATGTAGTAAAAATGTTAAAAAAAACCCTCAAACTATTCTGAGAGTCATCAGAGCTACAGCTTATTTTGAGAGAATAAATTTTAATAAGGCAATCAATTTTAAATTGTTACTTCTGAGCAAAGCAAAGAAGAAAATTAAAATGTGTACAGTGTTTCCATTCACAGACCATTAGCAATAACATAAACTCAAATTTGGGCAACTTCATACAAGTTACAAATAAGGAGGAGAAGGAACAGATTTAATTAATCAATAGGAAGTTATTACCATGACATTACCAGCGGATGTTCAGCAGAAAATTAAATTTAGCTTATAAAATGATGTCACGAACAGCAAACCATAATTTCTCATCTTTGTATTCTGTCAAGCAAAATAGCCAAAACTCTGTGGGTGGTACTTGATCAATTTGTGAAAAATCCTTACACATAACCTTATCACCTCTGCCTGTTCCCAAACGTTTTCCCATGAAACATTCACACAGCCCATAGACACAAACACTGCATCCCAGTCTCCCTTTGCTTCATAACTGTTAAGAATAGAATCTGAGTAAAATGCATCCATATATAAGGATGCCTGAGCAGTTTTATTTATAGAAACAAAAAAAAATCTCTCGAGGGAAACAAGAGAGAAAGAAAAGATCCAAGTCTCTCTCACACAATTGCCTATCAACAGGCTTCCATCCCCTACGAGCTCCAAATTTGGAAACTACAGACCAGAGTTTCTAAAAGCATATCTCAGAGATCTTATAATTAAGATGGGCTTATAAAAAAGTGACATTGGTAAGCTTCCTAATGAATCATAAAAATTGGCATGGTCTGCTTTGTAAAAAGAAACCTTTAAATTTTGAACACATGGTACATTTGCCTACTAATAGTAAAATATTTCTGATACTGTGATTAAAACAACTACAAATACTTAGTCATTAGTAGGACATTAAGCTCAAACAGATCAAAGAGCAAAGGCATAACAGAGTAGTGTCCCACCTTACCAGATGTCAAATTCCTGTGTCTTTTGGTCATTTGAAATCATGGGAAATTTTCAGGAGAAATAGTACTATCGCTATCACTACTTTTTTCCTCCTCTTGTGAACCTACCCTCATATAAAAATGGTTCACTGTGGAAACGCTAAATTTAACCATTCGTTATATTTTCCTTCTTTTTTTTTGGGGGGGGGGGCTTTTTTGGTGGTTTTTTTTGTTTGGTTTGTTGGGTTTTTTTGGGGGGGTAGTTTTGTTGTTTTGTTTTGGGGTTTTTGTTGTTGTTGTTTTTGATTTTTAGAGGGTTGGGTTTTTTTGTAGGATATAATTACTCACAGATCACTTCTACTGCTTTGAAATTATTTTTTCAGTCAATGAATGATCCACATAAAACAGCTCTCTGATCTATTAGTCGAACACTGAGTATGTTAAATCACAATCTGTTTTATCAGCTCCTACTGAAGAAAACTTCCCTCTAAGTTTCAGCTGATGACAGCACTCTTCATTTCCTCTCCTCTTACACGCACATGAATCAGCACAGCAACAACTTGCCATGTGTCAACTGTGGCTTTCTGCCCCATGTCATCTGATGAGGTACCTCTGGAATCATTTATTTGCAAATTTTAATGAAGTTTTGCATTCAAGCAGTAAAATACAGATAAACTATGTGGTGCATCCAGAGCAAAGTTCTACTAAGCATTTCTAGCTTGAAGCTTGAACAGTCTGCTTTCAGAACTTGTAACACAGACTCGTACACTTCAATCGAAGTCTTTCATGTCGTACACATCAGACTCTTCTCCAGCTTTTAAAAAAATACCCAAGCTGAAATAAAAATTTAAAGTGTACTTAACAGAAGTGCATCACGTCCAGTCTGACATGGAAACACCTTGAAGGACCCCTGAAGGTAGTAGCACACCCTTCAGTTTAGAGCCTGATCACAAGCAGTGGTACCAGGTTACAAACTCATGGCCAATAAAACAGGCCAAACTATCAGACTTTAGCAAAACAGGCACTTCCACCTTACATGGAAGAGCATAACGCTTTAAGTCTTGAAAATAGCAAATTCAGCCTGAAGCTAACTGAGTTTATAGAGGCCAGAAGGCCAGTACAAAGCAATGAATACTCATAGCTTACTTTAGTGGGGTTTTTTATTTAATTATCTGCACAAAATTAACTGAAATCCTTAAAGCAATAGCTTTGCTTTGGTGGGGGCTTACTTTGGTGGGGTTTTTTATTTAATTATCTGCACAAAATTAACTGAAATCCTGATGCACTTACAGCTATGGTCTGATTAATCAGATTTATTTATTTCTATCAGGATGACAGCTATATTGAATTTAGTAATCCTGTGACAGCATGAAACAATAAACTCCCCTGTCCATAGGCACATCTCAAGGTATCCTGAAAGTTCTAGGCAAAGAAATTACATCACATTTTACAAGTATCCTTTCACACACATGATGAGAAACTGACTACATAGTTTTCTTAAGTCATCTTTTCCCCAGAGTGCTGCTTCTGGTTTGAGAAAACCCTGTAAAACAGAGTAGAGCTAATGCACTCAGTATTTTATGATTCCACATATACAAAATGCAGTGCAGAACAAAAATATTTTCTCTGTATTCCATCCATGTCAAGAAAGCACTGAAAATGAACACAGAATAAGGCTTGTTTTCTCCAAGAAACAGAAAAAAAATTATTTCTATTTCCACAATAAAAACCTTTTAGAAGTCCACAGATATTTGAGTGCATCCAGTTAGAAATAAATAATATTCCTGAAATACTTCTTTCTAAACTCTCAGATCATCAGTTATAAACTTTGCTTAAAATCAGGTGATTTTTTCTTTCTAATTTGCTCACTGATGTTAATTTCTAGCATTAATAGTACCCTGTACAGAGTCTGCATCAGTTTAAACTTTTAGAAAAAGCTAAGGATTTCCTCTCAAAAAATAAGCAATATGGTGAAAAGTTAGGAATTGATAATTAAAAACCAAATGAACAAAAAACCCCTAGAAAACAACAAAGAAACAAACAAAAAAAGCCCCCAACAAAACAACTAAATAAACCCCAAAACATATCATGAATATACTAAACAAACCAAGCAGAAACCATTGGAAGTTGAATTCCCAAAGGTGAGAATCCCCTGTCAGGAAGTCAATTCTAATGTAACAGCTCAGGAAGACAATCTACTCAAACACTTTCATAAGTTATAAAAACTCTTGCACCACAGGCACCAAAATATAAAAATGTACCCTGTAGAAGAAAGGTAATCAATTACCTCCAATATATCTTCAGCTTCAGCAGAAAGCTTTGGTAAACTAAGGAGAAATAGCATGACACTACAGAAGCATTTCCTACTATTCACGATTATGAAATAAAGTGGCCAAGTTTAATTTAGGCAAATTACTTTGGACTGCTTGTGTGCATACCCAAGAGGCTGAAATGAAAAAAAAAAGGTTTCCATGATGGCTTCTTTTTACCTACAGAAAGTCCTAATAAAAATTATATTACAGACTCTGCTTGAACTTTTTATCCATTCCAGGGCAGAGAAAAGCTAAAGGAGGGCAGGAGGAATACTTGTAAAAGAAACTGGAAATATAATGAAATGCTTACTAGAAGGAAATAACAATAGAAAATTAATAACTCTATGTAGACAAGGCCTCTTTTCTACCACTATAAATAGAATATTCTGCTATTTTTGATATTACAAATGTTAATGAATAAAAACAAAGGTATAAAAACCCTAGGACTTTCCTAGCATGTGGGCAAACTCCCTGTACTTCAAATAGCAGATTGTGGGGGTTCCCAGAGGGGATCAAGTACATGGGAGGAAGGAGGCAGGGTGTGAGTGAGAGTAGAGCATCCTCACCAGGAACATATTTGATCAGAGATATGACAGCCATTCTTCTGGCTTGCCTGCTCATGACTTCTTTCTGTCCTCTTTCCCCTACCCAAAAAAACCTGAATGAAAGCCTTTAGACCAATCCTCATGACTTCTTTATGCCCTCTTTCCCCTACCCAAAAAACCTGAATGAAAGCCTTTAGACCAATACCTAGCTAGAAAAGTCTAACTGAACTTTACAAAGAAATAATACCTGGTGGCAGTGAGTTTGTTGTACAGAGTCTTAAATTATATATAAAGGACAGCACTTCCTCTGTCTCATTCAAAGTCACCTATTATATCCATATTCAACATGAATTTACAGCCAAAAGAGGTTGATCAACAAACCCAGAGGAATTTCTTGTTCTTGAAGGCATATTTACTCCTGAGAAAAAAATAAAACAAAAAAATATACTTTACAACATGCAATTGATTTCTCCTAGATAAGGCTTTCATACTTAACCTGTTGGGGCAAAACTAATCTTAAATAACTGACACTGTATGTAAAAGAGAAGAACTAAAGGAATACACTTCTGTCTTAAAGCCCACTTCTCAATAAGAATGAACAAAAAATTACTGAATAGACAAAAAATCCAGAATAGACAGGCTCTGCCAGAACAAGAACTGAAGGCTGTGAATAATGTTCTCCTCAGCCCTGCAGAAAGCTGACAAGGGCTGCAGTCCCTGGGCTCCAGCAGGGAGCTCCTGGTGCTCCCCAAGAGCAGGAGGCTGGCGCAGGGCAGGGCTGCCTGTGCTGCAGAGCCTCCCTCCATGCACTGGCACTGTAGCAGGGCCCTCTGCTGCAGGAGCACATTGGAGCTGTTTGCCAGCCCCTCCATAACTATGTATTTATATGCATATCTACACACAATTTACTTTCAACGCTATATGCAAAGCTAAAATAAATTCCTTTCTGCCATCAGAGCTGCATCTGTATCAAGGTTTTGTCAGGATAAGTGTCAGTGCTGTGGCACAAATTTGCTTATTGTGCTACCTGGTATCAACATAACTTGTGTCGTAACAAAACTTTGTTGCACAGACAAACCGTAATTGCCTCCTGTTAGGGGATGCTATGGGGGCAGGATGTGCACACAAAGATTTCACAGAGAAATCTCTTCCTAGCTGAGATCTGGCAGCTTTCATTTCCTTTCAGAGCAGCAGTAACCACAGGTGGTTATACCACTTGACCAGGTGGCTATTGACAATACCATAGAGTTTGTTTACTCCATAAAAGCAAGTGTCAAATCTCCTCTAATACAAATTACTTACAGGAAAATATCAAAGAGTTAAAAGCATTTGAAATTAAGTTATCAATCCAGCATAGCAGACTCCAAAGTTAAATCCAACAGGGCCAGCACAACTGCTTGAACACTTTGCCAAAGAGACAGATACTACTATCTGCAAAAGAAAAAAAAAACAAAACAAAAACTCCTATATTTCATAGCTTGGAACTGAAATCCTCCAACTATAGCCACGAAAAATATATTTTACTGTGTAACAGAAGAAACACAGTTCTTTAGCATTTTACAAGGTTTTTGGTAATGAAATGTTACCCCTATAGTGGATGGTGAGGGTTTCAAAAAAACTTCAAACATTTTCATAATAGTGCCACAAAAATACTCCCATAAGGATAAAATGAAGATTCAAAATTTTGATTGAAAAGTCAAATTTATGCGCTTTTACTAGATTTCACAAAATACCTGGAGAAAGTAGCAAAAGTCCATCCTGAGCTATTTCAGTGCTCAGCGTTATAAATATTCAGAAGGTTTGGATAAGCTGTCCCATTTGTCAAGGTAAAAATCTGCTTTGTTCAGAGGTGGGATTGTAAAAAAATGCTTTGGTAGCACCAGAACAACTTTGCACTTAAGTCAGTTGAGTTTTACAATTTACTGTGATAGGAATCAAATTAGGGAACAGCAGAAACTGAGAAATTTTAAAATTACATACAAATATCCAAGAAATGTTAACTTTGGATTGGTCTGGCAGGCCTGTTTTACTTTTGAAAAATTATTTCTGTAACTCAAGGATTATTTGTACTTTAAAAGTATCAGAAACAAAAGAAGCCCCAGCAACAGCATACTTACTAGCTAGAGATGTTAAAGCATTATGCATATTTTTAATGTGTTTAATGGGGTATTCTTATCTTCCATTTAAGAAGATAATAAATGTTGTATTTCTGGCAAAATACTTTCTACTCTAACCACAGCAAAAAAGACTATTGGTTTGGAAATAACTTCACAAGTCAGATAATGATACTGATTTTTAATATATCCTGCAATAATGGAGAAAATAGCAGGGGTGTGGGGAAGATGCAATTCCATCAGTAATCACAAAGGATAAACAGGAGAATTGCATGGTCACAGGTCACAGTCAGCATGAGAACTGCGTCAGGAAAAAGCCAAAAAATCACTAAAATATTGACTTAGGACATATAGAGCAAATATTTAAGGCTTAACGTCAATACAGTTTGAGGGACAAAAAATAAATGGTTTATCAAACTGACGAACTTGCTAATGAAACATTTAGTCAAATTGTTACTGACAAAATCATCCTTTTTTAAATATCCATAATATGCATGCTACAAATTTATTAATGCATTTTAGGTTGTAATGCATCATGAACTCAATTATCTTGTTAGTGTATCTGTAAAAACAATTAAAACAGAAAGACACTGCAGAATTATGCTGGTTTTAGTAACTCCATTGAAACCTGCTCTTGTTTTAGTACCATACAAAACATACCAGCTATCTGGAAAATCAAGTTTATAGGTGACAAAAAAGGCATCCTGTAAACTATTTAAATAGGGAGACTTGGCATTCTGACTTCATTCAACTGTCAAAATGCAACTTTATGGATACATGCAAAGCATCAGAGAAGAATATACTACAGAAAGCAGAGCTGTTGAAAAGATCTACAATGACACATAACTGGACAAAATGATAAACCTTTATGATAAGGTTACTGAGTAAAGAATTACAGTATCTTACATGCAACTAAATGAATCTGCTAAGCAAATAGTATTGTATTATTTCACTACACTAGCAAAACTTGTAAGTACGGACACAGAATTCCTTTCCTAAGAGACACATGGAAGGAGGAAACATCCTGGAAGAGTAACCTTTTCCATGAGGAACACTTGATACTGGTTAATCTAAGAACAGCTTAAGGATAAAGCAATTCTTTCAAACCGCTGATTCAAGTAAGGAGTCTTCCTTTACAATAAAAATACTGCCATATTTAACTCAGAGTTGCATTGCAATGCCTTCACTTCAGGATCTAACATGCAGAGTGGAACTCACACTTTGCTGCACAGGAAATACCCATGAAGTAAGAACATGCCAGAGGACAGCATCTCTCCCCTCCCCACCTCCCTCCTTCATCCAACCCAAACTGCTACAACCAGAGTACCATATGTCAGGGGATACAGAGGAAAAAAGAACAAGCCCAAACCCAACCAGCCAACTCTTCAGAGCAGTAATGCCACATTCCTCCACCGATGGTGTCACCCACAGAGCTACTCATTTTTTCTCCAAATATTTTTTATTGCAAAATACAACAGAATCCAGTGTTCCTCTTCCAGAATCACTAACCATAGAGTGTTTCTCACTTGCTTTCCTCTGATTTCATATACTCTCAGCTTTTACTTTACTGTGTTTCAAATTCAAGCAGAAAGGACGGAGCTGCCTCCATTCAGTCTCAGTTATACCTGCCGTTTACATTACAGCCATGCAGACAGAAAAAAATCTGAATCCTCTCAGGCTGAAAAAAAAAACCAAACCTGAATCCAATATATGTACTTCCTGAACAAAAGGAAACCACTACTACCACCTCCTTTGCTCCTATTTTTTTCCATTGCAACTTAAGAAAAATATTCAGCTGTTGCATGCATGTAACGCACCTTTTGTATTACAGCACAATCACGCTGGACACATGGCTCCACAGACATCAGTCAATACAGCTAGGTTACAACCAAATCTGATCTACTCCTTCATCTCTAAATAATTTTTTCTCATTATTTCCTTTGTGCTCCTATTAGTGTTTGGACAGCTGAACAGATCAGGGAATTGACATGGATGAAATTAACCAGATAAAAACAGTCATTAAGTTGAAATTACTGTGAAATCATCCTTTAGTATTGTTCTACCTAATTTCTAACCCCCACACTGTTTTGGTGGAAGATAAAAGCCAAGATGTTTTTCTACATCAAACATCTATCTGCTGAAGAAAATATTTTTTTCCTTAGTTGCTGAATTTTATTTGAAAAATCTGATTTCATTTTTTTCAGTCTTAAGCAACCTATGTAATCTTTGGATGTGACTCAGTGTTTCCATTATCTCACATTAAGCAAGTAACTACATCTCTTACTGCAAACTTGACAGTAATGCAGCATGGCTTCAAGGAGAGATGTGTTGTATTGGAACAACTCATATATTTGGAAAACACTCAAACAAGCTTTTAGTCAGAAAGCATCCTCTGGGTTTAGATATCACTCTAACCTAAGTGATAAATAGAATTTGCTAGCACTTGTTTAAGCACTGCCATTTAGGAAAAAAATAAAATTTTGAAGCAGTATTCAAGTGTTTGCTTTTATAACAAACTTGCTTTAACAATTTTGAATAACATATGGGTTTTATAAATACATTTCATTCAGGTATATATATAAATAAATTATACATAAATTTCAGTCAAGTTTCTACCACACAGTTGCAAGCATGCTGTACTAAACTTATATTCCAGTTGTATGAAAGAACAAAGAGTAATTCAAGGGCAGTATTTTACCTTTACAATCTTATCTTCAGACATACTTGATCTGTAGCTCAGCTTTATTATGCAACGTAAACAAAATCTTGCAGCCTTCTCTAAGAAATGCACATTATGAGCTAAACTTTGCACGTTTTGTGTGACTAAAAAGCAAGGGAATGCAACCTCAGAATTCTTAAAGTCCTGTGAATAATAAGGAGTTGAAAACTTTATTTGTACGACTGCATTAAAAAAGTAAAACTAGGTGCTTGCAGGGTAACAGAACCACTGAATGATAACTTCATTAACTTCCACTAAGCTAAATGACTCACAAATGGCATTTAGATCAGTAGTAAATCATCATCTAGGTCAGCAGGAAGCTCATTACAGACTGACAATCCAAGTGACAGAAACACTTTTCTACAAGTGCTATAGCAGTAATTTCCTGTGTGAAAGGCTTGCTGCTGTTCCTGCATTCCTCGGGGGACACTTCTTCTCAGAGGATGTTACTCTTCCCCAGGAAGAGGAAGGAACCAGTTGTTATTGGATGTGTGGGCTGATAGCTGTCGGGCATTTTCTGCATGCCGCAGAATCAGCTGTGAGAACTGTGACTACAGCTTAGATTTCCAGTCAAAGCAGAGGAAAACACTGCTTGAGCAGACAAGGTCACAGTGTACATGTACAGTATCTCAGGAAACTGAGAGAGAAATAATACCTGGAACTTCCATCCCTCCAGTTCCCAGAAATGTGCAAATGTGCTAAAGAAACAATATCCACACATGGATCAACTTGAAAAACATTCCTGAAACACAGCTGCCCTGAGAAAGACCCTACACAAAGTAAAATTTTGCCAGTTTTAAAAGGCCTGTGTTCTTATAAAATATTTGTGTATGTGTGCACGTGCACAATTTTTTCTTGTTAGGTCCCTCTCCTGGGCTTCCTGCTCTATAGGAACTCAAGCTCCCTCCATATGTGTTGAGACACTGTTACAGGGTGGGTCACCACTAGCTACTCCATGCCTATTCCAGTATCACATGCACTGACTTTTTCTTAAGTGATAGCACTAATATGTTTCCTTATTCTAACTGCTTCTTTCCAAATTTCATTAAAAAAACAATCCACCAATTATTTTATTATAAAATTATTAGGGAGACAGAACAGTGACAGACAAATAAACAGTACAATCTCATAAAGTACATTTCCTCAGGAAAGCAGGCTAAAAATAGGATAGGAAATATTATATTCTTGCACTCTCTAGTGCCCAAATTCAGAACTCAGTCTCCAATAAAAACCTGACTTTCTCTCCAGCTCACTCAGAGAATATAATCAAGACCATTAAGAAACATCAGGACATGTATTATTACTTAATTATGTAGAGGCACAACATACTTCCTGTTCTCTCCTTGTAAACCAGCAGTTACATGCTGTGTTAGAATAGCATCACCACAAAATGCAAGGACCATTTGGATCATATTCCTCTTTTATGACATGTGTTGGGTTCACCTTTAAGCATTTGATCCTTAAGCTTTATTTGATGTTAGTGGTATCAAAACATACTAATTTTAAGATTATGTACACAAATATTTTTAAACATTCCTAGACATCGACAGCAGCTCAAAATGCAACTTTAGAAATTCACTGTTCAATATGCAAAACAC